AAAAAAAAAAAAAAAAAAAAAGAAAAGGAAATGGCTGTACAAGACTTCCCACTACAGCATTACTGTAAAAGCCCTGAACTGGAAGCCATCCAAATGTCCATCTGGCGAGGCAGTTAAGTAAGTTAGAGCATGGCCATCACGACGCAGGGTGATGTGGAAAGATGAGAGGTATTGTGAAGGGTAATTCAAAGGACAGAAGCCACTAGGTCTCAATCCCGCTCCACGGTAGATCCAGGCTGGAGTGCGGTGGCACACTCCCGGCCACCACAGCCTCGACCTGCTGGGCTCAGGCCATCCTTCCACCTCAGCCTTCCAAGTAGCCAGAAACACAGGCGCATGCCACCACGCCCAGCTAATTTTTTGATTTATTATAAAGATGCGGTCTCACCAACTTGCCTAGGCTGGTCTTGAACCCCTAGATTCAGGCAGTCCTCTCACTTCAGCCTCCCAAAGTGCTGGGATTATAGGTATGAGTCACTGAGCCTGGTCTTTTTTTTTCTTTTGAGTTAGGGTCTCACTCTGTCGCCCCGGCTGGAGAAGAGTTGCACAATCACGGCTCACCGCAGACTCAACCTCCCAAGCTCAGGCAATCCTCCTGACCCAGCCTTCCTAGTAGCTGGGACTACAAGAGCAAGCCACCACGCCCGGCTGATTTTTTTAATTTTCTGTAGAGACGAAGTCTCACTATGTTGTTCAGGCTGGTCTTGAACTCCTGGAGTCAAGCGATCCTCCTGCCTCAGCCTCCCAAGGTGCTGGATTATAGTCATGAACCATCACACTCGGCCCAATAAAATTTTTTAAAACACCAACCCTTTGGTGTTTGAGGATCACTTTAGCCCAGGAGTTGGAAGCTGTAGTGAGCCGTGATTGTGCTACTGTACTCTAGCCTGGGAGACAGAGTGAGTTCCGACTCAAAAATAAAAATAAAAATAAAAATAAAATGTGGCTCAATGTTTATATGTGGGAAATCTTGGTGAAGGGGAAATAGAAAATCCATGTATTATTTGTACAACTTTTCTGTCCTTCCAAAATAATTTCAAATTTGGAAATCAAAGGACAAAACCAATCTGTGCTGATAAAAGTCAGAGTGGGCATCGCCTATGGGGTGGTGAGGTGCCATCTGGTGCCATTCCACGTGCTGTTCCATGTGGTGGCTGCATGGGGTGACCAATGCCAGGGTCCCATCCCAGGGTCCCATCCTCAGGGTTAATGCCTCCAGGCCCAGGCATTGGAGTTTTGCAAGATCCCTGGGTAATTCTGCATGCACCAAGGTTGAGAACCATGGGGGCATGAAGCATGACCCCAGTTTTTATTTTTTATTTGTAGAGATGGGGTCTTACTATGTTGCCCAGGCTGGTCTTGAACTCCTGGCCTCAAGCGATCCTCCCACCTCAGCCTTCCAAAGGGCTGGGATTATAGGTGTGAGCCACTGCGCCCAGCCCCAGGTTGTTTTTTAAAAGTGGACTGCGATACAGTAACACATTTTTATCTAGACAATTCCTCATTTGTAATTGCAGAGAACAGTTGTAAAATGCCACTCAAGAGGCAGCACAATTGTGCGTGGGTGTGGGTGGCGGCTGTTCACCTCTTGCCCTCTGCACTGTTTGAATTTTCATCACAAGTGGTTCTTACTTGGATCGTCATCATTTGTGAGAATCAGCGTAAAAACGAAGCCCTCTCTCCTTGGAGAAGGGGCTGATTCCCAGGCTGGGCAGGAAACACAAGATGATTCTGGAGTGCTTTGGAGCTTCTGAGAGTAAGAAGGGCTCCCAAAACAAGGAGGACTGTGGAAAGGGGACAGGAGTCCCCCGAGAGCTCCCAGTGGCCATAGCCAGCCCCATGGGAGAATCCAAATAAGTAATAGTAGTATCGGGTTATAAACTACAGAGTATGTTACCCATGAGTACAAACTGACAAAAACAAATAATTAAGCAACTAAACAAATGGGGCAGAAGGCATAATTCTTCCTTACAGGAGGATTCCAGCGAATAAATCTTGGAAGAATGGTGGAAACAGAATCCCTATTAGAACACCACGGCAATGACTTGGGCAGGCAAGATCCACCGATAGGTTCTAAAATCAGGGGGTAGAAGTTTGAGGAGAAACAGGACATTTACATGGTCTAAAAGTATCTCCCCTGAATAGTTGTTAATTTAAAAAGGAACCATAGGCCAGCCACAGTGGCTCACGCCTGTAATCCTTGCACTTTGGGAGGCCGAGGTGGGAGAATTGCTTGAGCCCAGGAGTTCGAGACCAGCCTAGGCAATATAGTGAGACCTCATCTCTATAAAAAATTAGCAGGGCATGGTGGCATGTGCCAGCTACTCAGGAGGCCGAGGCAGAAGGCTCTCCTGAGCCCAAGAGGTCAAAGCTGCAATGAGCCATGAATGTGCCACTGTACTCCAACCTGGGAGACAGAGTGAGATCTTGACTCAAAAAAAAAAAAAAAAAAAAAAGGAATCATAGTAACTTTACAGTGGAGGAACCCCCAATCCTATCACTTATTCAATCTGTGATTTTTGAGCACTTTTCCTATCTGAGTCTCTGTTGCTGCATCTATACAATGGACACACTCCCAGGACCACCTAACCTTAGGGCTGAGGGTTGAGTGATATCAAATGTATAAAGCACGAGGCACTGGGGCTGGAACAAGGTCTGCCCTCCATAAAGAAGAGGACAGAAGCCAGAGACCCCCTAGCCCCGCTCACCGCCGACCCTGTGATGATATGAACCGGTCCTCGCGGATTGGTGTAGGGCATCGCTCGACTGCCGTTAAATACCTGGAGAAGGGAACCAATGAGCGCGTGAGGAGTCATACCAGGCCACCCTCCTACACACACACTCCACCAGCTGTGTGCCCAGCCCACCCGGCCTCACCTGGTAGTTGTAAATTGGCCACAGCCGCTCGTAGGAGTGTTCATGAGCCCACAGCTGCAGGTCCACGCCTGAGACAGAGCACGTGGGGGTCAACCCGAGTTGGGGAGATGCAATGGGGGTGGGGCATGGGCCGGGGGTCCCGGGGTCACTCACCGTATTTGTAGAAAAGATCCTCCAGCCCATACAGCCTGCCTCGGAGGCCTCTGCGGACCTGGGCAGGGCAAACGGGCAGGTGAGGTGGGACTTGGGCCACCCCCCACCCCGACTCCCAGCACCTCCCACCTCACGAGGAGGGGCCTCACCCTGCTTTCGTGCTGAGTACAATCGTCCAGGTCTGCATTGGAGCAGTACATGGGCCGGTGGCCCATGGTGATGATCCAGGGCCGTGCTGCCCGGTTCTGATTGGCTTTCTAGGGAGAAGGGCCCAGGGTGAGGGGACAGGTGGGTTGGGGACAGGCGAGGCCCACCGAGGGACCCAAGGGACCTCCGCCCTGTTACCTGGAGGTCGCTCTCCAGCCAGCGGAACTGCTTCTGAACCAGGTGGCGGCCATAATGGAGAAAGAAATAGACCTCCGTGGAGAAGGAGATGATGTGTGCTGGACCCAGGTCCCAGCTGGAGGGGTCAAAGGGCAGGGGTCAGGGGTGGGGTCGCTTCTGTGTGTCTCCCATCCTTCAGGGGAGACAGGCCAGCCTCCCAGCACTCCCAGTTTACCTGTACCACAGGCCTTCATTATCCCCCGGCATGCTGAAGCGTGCCTTGTAGTTAGAGAAGTTGCTGGAAGAACGGAGGTAAGAGGAAAGGGAATGAGGGACTGGATTTCACAGCCCCACTCCCGTCAGGCTCAGAGTCCACCTCCCAGCGCACCCCTGGCTCCTCCCCTCTCGCCACCACAAATGGGGTGGTGTAGCTTGAGGGACACATGAAGGAGGACCCAGCCATTTCTCATTGATCCGGCCCTCGCCCGCCCCTGCAGCCCTCGGTCCTCACTAGCGTTCCTCATGATTTCCAGGGCACGTCATGTACGGCAGGTTGGCAGCCACGGGCTCAATGAGGCGCATGAACCTGTCCCCGACACGGGCGTTGTCCTGATCCATGTTGTAGGCAAAGTCCCCTGGGGGTGTGGGGGGGCCAGAATGACAGTGAGGACCTAGACCCAGCTCTGCTTCCGCCAGCGTTGAGAGACCCGGCTGCTCATGTGTAGGCCATCCAAGCCCTGGCCTCTGAGCCAGCCAGTTCCGATCCCTACCTCACACCACCCGGTTCCCAATTCCTACCTCACACTACCGGCATGTGCTCTTGGCACCTCTGGCCCCTGAGATCCCTCCCGACCATGTGGTCTCCTGCATCCTGAACATACCAGCCCCGAACTCTGTCTGCCGCCTTGTCCCTTTTCACAACAACATTGTCTCACAGCGTCTGGTACCGGTTTGGCACCAGACACAGTTCCAAATGCTTTATGTATGGGATCACTTACCTTTCCAAAACACCCTCTGAGGTGGGTATTCTTATTCTCCCCATTTCAGATGGGGAAATGGAGGCCCCAGTCACAGAGCTGGCTAGGGGAGAGCTAGTAATAAAACCTGGGGAGCCTGATTCCAGAGTCATACAGGCCCCAATCCCCATTTCTCACCTCATTCTCTGTCCCTTCAAATAACAACAGCAGCAGTAATAATAATAACTAATACTTAAGCAGCACTGCCACCCTACAAGGCCATGTGGACTTATGTCATCATCACAACAGTCCTGTGAATTCTTTTTTTTTTTTTGAGTTGCAGTCTCTGTTGCCGAGGCTGCAGTGCAACTGCATGATCACGACGACCACAGCCTTGACCTCCTGGGCTCAGGCAGTCCTTCCAGCCCAGTCTTCTGAGTAGCTGGGACTACAGGTGCGTGCCAGCACGTCCAGCTCATTTTGTGATTTTTTTTTTTTTTGTAGAGACGAGGTCTCCCTCTGTTGTCCAGGCTGATTTTGAACTCCCGGCTTCAAGAAATCCTCCCACCTCGGCCTCCCAGAGTGCTGGGATTACAGGTGTGAGCCACTAGCCTGGCAGGTCCTGCGAACTCTGAACTAGCTTTACCTCCGACCCTCATCACACACGAGCCGGGTGGGGTGGGAAACCAACGCTCGTGGCAATGAGTGCCAGGGTTGGGATTTTAATCCGGGCAGGCTGGTTTGCCGCAGACACCATCTCGGGGCCAGTCTCATCCCCCGTCCTTCAGAGCCGCAGGCGTGGCGCCGCTCCCATCCCTGCTCCCCCCCACCCCCCACCCACCAGGCGACCCTCGCTGATGCCTCACCCACGTGGAGAACAGCATCGTACATGCCCTGCTGGGTGTCCCTGCGCAGCCGGGGCAGGGCCTTCGGGTTGTCGGCCCCAAGGTCCCCAAACACAGCCAGACGGGGGCTCCAGTGCGCCCCATTCTTCAGGGCCCTGAAGCGGAACCGGCGGCTCCAGCCCTGGGCACTGCCGCAGCGGTAAACTGAGGCAGGGGGAAAGGCCACAGTCGGCCGAGGCGCCCCGGGACCGCGCCCCCAGCGCCCATCCTGCTCGCGTGGGCGGAGGGCCGGAGACGGGGGTGGGGGCGACCCGTGCCCCTCCTGTCTGTCTGCCCTAGCGCCGTCCGCTTCCCACGAGCAGCAGGCTTGCAGCCGGGCCCCCGGACGGCGGTGGCTTCGCGTCCACACCCCACCCAGCCCCACCCAGCGCCCCAGCCCGGGGCTCCCGCACCATACTGAACCCCCGGGAGCAGCTTCCGCAGCGTGACTCGATGGATGTAGAGCTTCCTCCGGAGAATGCCCCCGTCCACAAAGGAGTGGAAGGTGCCCTGGGCGCGGAGGGGCAGGGGCCCCGACAGCTGCAGCCCGAACTGCACTTCAGAGCGGGCGGGCACCCATGTGGTCCAGGTTACGGTCATGGAGCCCGGCTCGCCTGGGGAGAGAGGAACCAGAGGGTGGTTGAGCCGGGAGGCCCGGGCAGGGCAAGGAGGGGTGTGCAGGCAGAGTGGAGGGCACTGAACATCTAGGGGTCAAGGACACCACTGCTGGAGCTGGCCACCTTCGACTCCAGCTTCCACATCTCCCATCTGTGTTTCTCCTTGGGCGCATCACTTCACCTCTCTGAGCTTTGGTTTCCCTGTCCATAATGCGGGATGATATTAGTATTGAGGCAGGCATAGTTAACATTGTTTAGAAGCAGTTAGGCAGGTTTTCTTAGGCAGGTCTAAATTAAAATAAGGTAAGCATTCAGAGTTTTTTCTTATTGATACATGACCTTTACCCCACCGACCAGGTACATTAGATGTGACCACCTTGTGGGTTGGAATGTGGAACTACCAGTGCAGGAAATCACAGAAACAATAGGAAATTACCCCAAACACAGGCATGATGTTGTAAGAAAAGTCCAAAGCTCGTTGGGCAATAACCTTAATTATTGAGAAGGTTCTTGTGACCTTAAAGTTTGAGGTGGTAATCAAAACCCGTGACCAGATACCTGCAGCCCTCTGCTCTTAGCTCATGGTTTGCTTAATCATCATCGTAAAAACATAAAGCTGCTTGTCAAAGGCAAGCATGTGCCCTCTCTTAAGGAATTCATGCTCTCCCTTGAGCATACACCCTTGAGCATGCCTCTTTCTTTCTAATGAATTCTTTCTCAACTATACTCTGGACTCACTCTGAAATTCCTTTCTGTGGTGAAGACAAAGAACCCACAGAGCAACACACTGCAACCCACCCAGCGGCAGTATCTACCCTATTAGGTTGTTACAAAGCTTAGAGGAATAAATAGAAGTAAAGCACTTGAAGCAGTGCCTAGTACAGTTAGGGTTATAAGGGGGGCTGACTATTATTATAAATATCAATATTTATTGTGTGTAGGTCTTGGGCCAAATATTGTACACACACGGTATCATTCAAGGGTCGCCAGCTCAGTTGTCAGGAGCCCAGCTAAGTGATATAAAAAGGGACAAGGGCCAGTTGTCAGGGAGTCACAGAGCATGTGGCAAATTGTAGTCCCTGCCCACATCTAAAAGTGGTAGCCGACTCTGATCTGGTAATGGTGGCCAAGCAGGAAGCAGGCCCACTGCCACCAAAGCTATCAACTTTTAGAGGACATCTTTTTTTTTTTTTTGGTCAAGGTCTCACTCTGTCACCCAGGCTGGAGTGCAGTGGCATGATCATGGCTCACCACATCCCTGACTTCCTGGGCTCAAGCGATCCTCCCACCTCAGCCTCCTGAGTAGCTGGGACTACAGGCGCATGCCACCACCCCCAGCTAAGTTTTTTATTTTTTGCAGAGACAAGGTCTCGCTATGTTGCCCAGGCTGGTCTTGAACTCCTGAGCTCAAGTGATTCTTCCCCCTCAACCTCCCAAAGTGCTGGGATTACAGGCATGAGCTACCGTGCCTGGCCAAGAGTACCTCTTTACACAGTGGTTTTTATATAAAGGTAGATACGAAAGCCCAGATTTTTAAGGGATAGCTTCACATTCTTAAATGTTAGCAACCAAATCAAGGTTTTAAAGTTACCATGTGGTGTAGTGTAGTATTGAGAGCATGAGTTTTTCTTCCAGTCACACGAAAGTGCATGTGCACGAGGTTATTTATGGCTGCACTCTTTGTAATTGCAAAATATGTGAAACAACCTAAATGCCCATATTTAGGAGAGTGACTGAATAACATCCACACAATGGTGTAAAAAGGAATAAGAACAAGCTCTAAGAACTATTTTGAAATGACTTCCAGGACATATTGTTAAATTAAAAAAAAAAAGTGAAGTGAGCTGGTTGTGGTGGCTCATGCCGGTAATCCCAGCACTTTGGGAGCCCGAAGTAGGAGGATTGATTGAGCCCAGGAGTTCGAGACCAGCCTAGGCAACATAGCAAGACCTTGTCTTTACAATAAAAATCAAAATATTACCCTAGTGTGGTGGTGCGTACCTGTAGTCCCAGCTACTTGGGAGGCTGAGACAGAAGGATTGCCTGAGCCTGGGACTTTGAGGCTGTGGTGAGCCATGATCATGCCACTGCACTCCAGCCTAGGTGACAAAGGAGACCCCAACTCAAAAAAAGAAAAAGAAAATTTTAAAAAAAGCAAAGTGTATAAGAGTACAGTCAGCTAGCTTTAACGTAAGGAGATGTAAGAAAATATGCAGGTATCTGCTCACTTATGCCAGTGCAGCACAAGAAGGCTACACCAGGAAGTAAAGAGATGGATTACTTATGGGGGGTGGAGGAAAAATGGGTAGAAAAAGGGAAGGCACAGAGCATCAGGCAAAGGAAGGAGAGACACTTCTTTGAGTCAAGCTTTCCATATAATTCCTTCACACACACTTCAAATAAACAAAACAAACCACCAGGATGTGGGGCTGAACCCAATATAAACACGAAGAAATGGACCTAATGATGAGTAACATAGCTAGACTGAAAGGGGGCAAGAAAAATAATTGCGGGATACAGCATCCTAACTAGGTACCGTGAGGCTGGAGCATCCTAACTAGGTACCGTGAGGCTGGAGCATCCTAACCAGGTATCGTGAGGCTGGTGTGTCCTAACTAGCTATTGTGAGGCTAGAGGGTCCTGACTAGGTTTCATGAGGCTTGAGTATCCTAACTGGGTATCGTGAGGCTGGAGCATCCTAATTGGGTTTTGTGAGACTAGAGTGTCCTAACTAGGTATTTTGAGGCTAGTGACATAAAGGATGGTGCAGAAATGCTGACATTTAAGCAATGTGTGCTTCTCTCAGGGATGGGGCGATCAATTCTGAAACTGCCTTATGCATGTTGGAAATTGAAAAGTTGAGAAAAATAAGTATGTACGTAGTGTGAGTCAGGTTCCTCAGTGTTAGAGAAAGAAGTGACAAATAAGGGAATGTGAAGGCTAAAATAAACTCTTGGTGTTGACTGAAATCAGAGGTGTCGGTATGATCTCATGATCTCATGAAGTATTTCAGATGTGTGCAGATAGATGCATCCAGAAATACAGACGTGTGCACATGCAGGTCAGGGTACATGCAGGTACAGCTTTGCTCCATTGGTTGAGAGGGTCTAGAAGAAATGACACCTCCGTGGCCATGAGCACACCTGGCGCTCAGATCCTAGTTTCTAAATACCCATCAGCCCGGGCATGGTGGCTCATACCTGTAATCCCAGCACTTTGGGAGGCCAAGGCAGGGGGATTGCTTGAGCTCAGGAGTTCGAGACCAGCCTGGCAGCATAGCAAGACCCCATCTCTACAAAAAAAATTTTTTAATTAGCTGGGCATGGTGGCATGTGCCTATAGTCCCAGCTACTCAGGAGGCTGAGGTAGAAGGATTGCCTGAGCCCAGGAGATCGAGGCTGCAGTGAGCCATGATTGTGCCACTGCACTCCAGCCTGGGTGACAGAATGAGACACCAATTCAAAAAATAAAAAGTAAATAAATAAATATCCATTCTCAAAAAAAAAAAGGAACTAGTACTCATTGAAGAAATAGTTGATTCCAGTGATGGGGCAGGAAATATACAAGATAAGCGTGAAATAATTTAGGATGTCATAAAGTGAGGAAGTGTTTAAAAATGATTAGGTTTGCCGAAAGAACACAGACCCCAGTGTGAAGGAATTCCAAGAGACCAAGTCCGGGACAATATGAGTAGTGGAATATGCAGTGATAGTATTCGATTTTCACCCACAAGATGAAAGAAATAACCATGAGTCCATGATACAAATAATTGAATAAATAAGTAAATGGAGCAGGAAGAGCTCTTCCTTACAGTAAAATTTCAAGTAGATAGAAAGAAGGAATTAGAAAATTAGGCTGATTGTAGTGGCTCACACCTGTAATCCCAGCACTTTGGGAGCCCTAGCTGGGAGGACAGTTAGAGGCCAGGAGTTCAAGACCACCTGGGCAAGGTAGTGAGACCCCCGTATCTAATCAAACAAAACATATATAACATAAAATAGAAAAGTGCAATTAGGGAAACGTCACGCTAATAATGGTTGCAGATCAGATCCACTGATGGGTGCTAAAATTAGTGGGCAAACATTCGAGGTGAAACAGGATTTGCATAGTATTGAGCAATCTCCCTCGAGATATTTATGAGCTATGAAAGAAAGAATAATTACTTTATAGCGGAGAAGCCCATCAGGCACCTCCTTCACCAAACAATCAAGGTCAACATCACCAGTAACAGTAATAAGTCACATCAACATCGTGATCCCTCTGACAATGATGCACTGAGGACACAGCATCACAGCTATGATAGTCTTGCCAACAATATATAACTTAATGCCAATCATGAGAAAACATCAGACAAACCCCAGATGAACGTGATCCTACAAAATAACCGAGCCGTCCTCAAAACTACCAAGACCACGAAAGATAAGAGAAGACTGAGAAACTGACAGACTGGAGGCACGGCAACTGAATGCCACATGAGGTCCCAGAACAGAAAATGAGCATGCGTGGAAAAGCCGGTGAAACTCAAGAGAGCTCTGTAGTTGAGTCTGTGGTATCCATCTTGATTTCTTGGCTTTAATCATTGCACCGTGGTTACATAAGAGGTCAACATCAGAGGAAACTGAGTGCAATATTTTGGAACTTTTCTGCTAAATCTAAAATGGATATACAACGAAAATTTAAAACAAAGATTGTGAGCGCCTGAGCCAGCCTGCCGGCGCTTGAATTTCAGGCTGTGCGAACTGGGGTCAGACTCTGCTCCGCTAGGAGCTTCAGTTGTACTCTTTTGTCAAATGGGAGTAACAACAAATAGTACTTACAGCTTGAGGTTGAGATGAGGTGAAATGAGCTGTCCATCTAAAGCACTTAGCTAGAGTATTTGCTGTGATTATTTTTATTTTTTTTGAGTTGGAGTTTCACTCCGTCGCCCAGACTGGAGTGCAGTGGCCGCTCCTGGCCACCGCAGCCTCGACCCACTGGGCTCTGGCGATCCTTCCGCCTCAGCCTTCCAAGTAGCTGGAATTACAGGCGCGCACTACCATGCCTGGCTGATTTTTGATTTATTGTAGAGATGAGGTCTCGCCAAGTTGCCCAGGCGGTTCTCGAACCCGCGGGCTCAGGCAATCCACTCACCTCAGCCTCCCAAAGGTGCGGGATTACGGGCTGAGCCACCAGCCCGACTTGCTGTGATTATTGTGTTGGCCAACAAAGGACCCCTGTGATCTCACTGGGTTTTCACAGCAGCACCATGGGATGGGTTTTATTCTTTCCTGTCCTACAGAGGCCGCTAGGCAAAGTGCTTTGTCTGTGGCCAAATGACCAGGACAAAGCACTTTGCACAAAGTTAGTTGTCATATTGCAACTAACTTTGTTTTTTTTTTTTGAGTCAGAGTCTCACGCTGTTGTCCAGGCTGGGTGCAGTGGCACGCTCACAGCCACTGCAGCCTTGACCGGCAGGGCTCAGGTGATCCTTCTGCTTCAGCCTTCCACAAGTGCGTCACCATGCCCAGCTAATTTTTTGATTTGTTGTAGAGACGCAGTCTTGCCAAGTTGCCCAGGATGGTCTTGAACACCTGGACTCAGGCAATCCTCTCGCCTCTGATTCCCAAAGTGCCCAGCTTGCAACTAACTTTTAAGAAAAGTGGGTGATTCACTTGAAGCCAGGAATTCGAGATCAGCCTGGACAACATAGCAAGACCTTGTCTATAAAAAATCAAAAAATTAGCCTGGCATGGTGGTGCATGCTTGTAGTTCCAGCCAGTTAGAAGGCTGAGGCAGAAGGATCACCTGAACCCAGGAGGTTGAGGTTGTGGTGAGGAAGTTGAGGTTGTGGTGAGCCATGATTGTGCCACTGCGCTCCAACCTGGGAGACAGAGTGAGACTCCGACTCAAAAAAAAAGAAAGAAAGAAAAAGAAACCATCTTTTTCTTATCTCTTTAAAAGTGTTGTCAAGGACATGAATGACAAGGAAAGACTGAGGAACTGTCACAGACAGAAAAGACTAGAGACTAAATGAATTGCGAGATACTGGATTAGAATAAAGACATTGGTGGAAAAGCTGCTGAAATCTGAAGTGCAGTTACTAATATCAGTAAGTATTTTGCAGCTTGACAATGGTACCATGGCTACCTAAGACATTATCATTGAGGCAAGCTGGATGAAGGGCATATGGAAACCGGGCACTCACTTTGGAATTCTTCTGTAAGTCTAAACTTATTTCAAAATGGAAGGTTTAAAAAATTTTGAAGAAGAAACCACTGCGTGTTGCGTTTTGGTGTAGAATCAAAGAAGAATGTCCACAATGATCCGAAATGCCTACTAAAATCTTCCTGCCTGTTTCAACCACACATCTGTGCAAGGCCAGATTTTCTTTACATACAAGATTGAAAGCAACATATCACAACAGGCCAGAGCAGAAGCAGACCTGGGCGGGTCCAGCTGTTGTCTATCAGCCAGACATTAAAGAGATTTAATTTAAAAGATGCAAATCAATGCCACCGTCCTCACTGAATATCTTCTTTTGCAAAATGTAATTATTTTTCATTAAAAACGTCCTTCACATTAATACAGGAGGGGTTTGTTATTGTTCATTTTAAACGACAATGCATATTTTAAATGCCTCCATTTTCATTTCGAATAAAGTAAACATTGGCTGATGTAACTCACATGAACTAAAGTTCTTTGAGGTTCTCAACACTTTTTATCAGTGTAACATGCCAAACTCAGTTCTGCCTCTTCACGGGTGGCAACTCATTTACTCCTTACCCTGAGGTCGTGCTAATATTACCCTATTGTCCAGATGAGGCGGCTGAGGCCAGAGAGGTTAAGCCTCTTGCCTAAGGCCACACAGTAGATAAGTAGCCAAGCTGGCATTCTAAGCCAGGCAGTCTGGGTGCAGAGAGTCCAGAGTCCAAACCCTCAGCCCCGCAGTGAATGGCCACTTTTGATTAAAAATCAGGAGGCAGCCCTGGGAGGAGGAGGGATGGAGAAAGAGCTGGACAATCTAGCTCTGTCATCGTTCATTCACTGGCTTCTTCCACAGCTGATCTTAAGGCCTAGTGTGCACTTACGTGCCAGACCCTGAGACAGGACAGCGACACACTGACCAGGGACAACAGCAGCCCCCTCTGGAGAGCAGGAGAGCACTGGCTGTGGGCTGGCATCACAATCCATTCCCACACTACCAGATGTGCCCACTTCACAGAGGTGGACGACCGAGGCTCAGGAGGAATGAGCCCCCTAGGTACCACAGCCATGAGTATAGGATGCCTGACCCTCCAGCCAACAAAGCACCACCAGGTCTTGCTGAGAGAGATACGGCCGGGACATGGCCACTTACCTGGGTAGGACAGGTGGACCTGCTCTGGGGTCGCACTGGGAGCCTCTGGGGTCCCCTGGACTCCCAAGAACAGAAGGAGCAGACAGCAACAGGACTGGTGACCAGGAAGGCCATGCATGGTAGGGGGTGGGGGGGGCAGAGCAGGGGAGAGGATGCAGTTTGAGCAGGGCGGATCCTCTCAGGTACAGCAGGAAGGGCCAGAAGGATGGAGAACCAGGAAGATTGGGCGGTACTGCCGGGGGAGGCTGGAGGCCGGGTGGTCTTCGGGGATGGCTGTCCAGACGCTGCCGGGAGAAAACAAAACAGTAATCACAACGGAGCAGTGAAGCTCTCAGCCTCGCTGTGCAGCACATGCTGCAAAAATGAACTCACGGAGGCCTCACAACATCGCTATGAGGTGGCGGCCACTGGGTCACCATGCGTGTCACAGATGAGGAGGCTAAGCAGCTGTGATTCAGGTGCCCCGGGAGGATGTGAGGCGCTGGGGTTCAAACCCGCAGCCTGGGGCTGCAGCCTCCTCTGGGTCACAGCCTCTGTCCATGGCAGAGGGCTGAGAATGGGGTGGGTTCTAGTCACCTTGGTTTCTTCTGCCATTTTCCCAGATTCCTTGCATTCCACCCTGCCTCGGGTCTCCCCACTCTACACTCCATCCTCAGCCTTCCATGTTGAGACATAGATAGATAGATAGATAGATAGACAGACAGACAGACAGACAGACAGACAGACAGATAGATAGATAGATAGATAGATAGATAGATAGATAGATGGGGGGGGCACACGGGGCTTCGCTATACTGTCCAGGCCGGTCTTAAACTCTTTTTTTTTGTTTTGAGTTGGAGTCTCACTCTGTCGCCCAGCCTGGAGTGCAGCGGCCGCTCCCGGCCACCGCAGCCTCGACCCGCTGGGCTCCGGCGACCCTTCCGCCTCAGCCTTCCGAGTAGCCGGAGTTACAGGCAGCGCTACCACCCCCGGCTGATTTTTTGATTTACCGTAGAGATGAGGTCTCGCGGCCCAGGCGGGTCTCGAACCCGCGGGCTCAGGCGATCCACTCACCT